TGATCAAAGAGTCTTATAAATATTAATGATACTTTTTGTTTTCGTACTTTTTAATAATACTCAATCTATAGTACAAAAATAAAAGTTCAAATTAACAAAAATCTCTCTCTAATAATTTGAATATATATAATCAATACTATTATTATTGATAGAAATAATATTTGGTAAATAATTGGCATATTAAATTGTGCAAAGTAGTTATTTTCATCCATAAAATTTTAAAGCTTAAACACTTTTTTCGAAATTAGATTATTTTAAACCATTCTCTAAAATAAAACTACCTTTTTAGATTTAAATAATGATAGTAAATCATATCCTTTCTGATCAACAAACTCTCGTTTCAAGATTAAAGCTCCTTAAGCATCTAAGTTGGGATTGTAGGACATTTTTAGAATGATAATATAATAGGGGCTAAGAATAGTGAAAAACAAATACCACTTTAGGGAAGAATATTATTTTAACTATGGCCATCTAATTTATATAGTTCATGTATTTAGATATTCTTCCATATACTATTAAACAATTAAGCTTAATTCAAGTTTATTCCACTAATATCAACATTATGAAATTCCTACCCATTTAAGTTGCACTTTGCGAAATTTCCACCAATCAAATTAGTATCTCTAATCCTAATATTCTCTAAGGTTTATTCCCTCAAATTCACCTTCATTTTGACTAATAAGTTAATTGAGTCGGATCCACATTAGAAAAATCTCTCATCAATGGATGTCAAAAGTACAAGAAATTTTAAAAATTCAATAATAACCCTATCATAAGCAATTTATTAAATTAAATCCTTATGTTATTGTTCGAATATCTCAGCCGAATAATTCTTCTTATGATAGTCGATTTCACTAAGATTTTTAGAATTTTAATTATCAACTAAAAGTCGCCTTTGAATCAGCTTTCTCTTCCATATAGAATTAATTGTTATTCTAGTCTTCCTAGTGTTTTTAAAGAAATTATATACTATTTATGTTTTTCTAATTTCTCAATAATTCTAGAACTCCATTAAGAAATTATTAATCAATATTTTTTGTTAAAGATAATACCTCATATAAGTCTTATGATTGTTCATAACAATACTCTATTTCAAAAATACGACCTTTCATGTCCTTATTCAGCTTTTCAAAATGGTTCTTATTTCCATAAATTCTTTGTAATTTCCAACTTTTTCAATTTAAAATTTTTCTAAGAGTAAACTAATTTTTCTAAATCAGTATTTGACAATTCTGTTGGGTCCATTTAGTTGTCTACGACCAAAAAATAAGATTGATCTTCCAATTCGATCATATCATAAATCTTTTCTAATTGATCTCAAATTATTTTAACTTATTTTAAGTTGAAGAAACCATTTACTTAAAATTCTTCCTCTCTGTTTCAAATTCAGATGTTTATAAAGGCTAAGTTTCTTTAAATTTTTTCGTAACCATTTCTGAATAATCTTTGAAGGCACTTCATAAGTTTTTTAAAAAAATATTGAATTTCTATTACTTTGTTTTGAGTTTAAAAACTGTGATAGACTAACATTTTATAAAAATTAATGTAACTTTATAGGAAATGTTACTTTTATCAAGTTGAGTGAAGATTGTTTGAATAAACAATAAGGGGTTGATTTGACTCTAAACTGAGAAAGATAAAAAAATCCATGTGTTATATCCCTCTCGTTTATAACGCGAAGGCAAAAAATCCAGGGTGGAAGCCCTACTGTTATGCTTGACTCGTTCTGCCTGTTGCTAGATCCTCAAGTAACTTTCTGATTGTTTTTAATTACTTTATTTTCTTGGTTTTTTTTGGATTCAAATATCTTTAATTTGAAACTATTGTTTTTCACATTCTAGTTATTATTTGTATTCAAAATTTAAAAGTAGTGATTAAATATTTATTTCTTAAAGAAATTATTGTTTAAGATGAATTAATGTGAGAAATCGCAATAAAAAATGTTTAATGAGAGTATATATGCAAATTTATTGAAATGATATTTATTAGAATGCTAATTGGATAATGATTACATTTCACTTTGCTTCGGTTTTAATCTCATTAAATTGGAAAATTTTAATTTTTAATTCCTTTTTTCCCTTTCCTTTTTATCAAGAGATAAATTCATTCCTAGGTATAAAATTTATTCACTGAATATAATAATGTTAGATATAACATTTCAAACAATTTTTGAGCAATCAAATATTATTTCAGATATATATTTTATATTTTTCAAGTTAGTTTCATGACAGCCAATTAATGTATTTGATTTTCTAAGTTATTTCCAAACTATCATTAATCAAGAAATCACTATTTTCTGTTTGCTTTTATTTTTGGTTCAGCTGCACAGTGTATCATAAACTTCAATTGACCATTCTTATTGTAATATGCTTAAGTATATCCAAAAATACACAGATTTTCATCTAAAGTAAATAATTACCTTATTTAGTCACATATCAAAGAGAAAAGGAGGAATAACTTTTCACAAGAAAGTGATTAAATTTATTCAGTTGTTCTGAGATTCGAATAAAATAGGCATGATACTTTATAATTATAATAAATCTTATTGCAATTCTTTTAAGTATTCTAAAATCAAGCTTCCTTGAGATTTGAATAAGGATTTTAAATCCTAATCTGAATAATTTTCAATTGCTCCTTTCAAAATAAAAGTCCAAAATTGGATTTTGATACGATCAATCTCAGCTAAAGAAAAATATGAAATAGTACTATGATTAAAAATTGAGTGATTTTAAAGTGGCAATTTAAACAAAGAAAGATGGTTTTTGTAACAATTATCTTAAGGTAAAATCTCTTGTGCTGTTTCAACATCCCATAATCGGATATTCTTACCATAACTACCAGACGCCTATGTAGTAACTCGAATTTGCGAGTCAAAAAACTATTTAGGTACTACTCCCGGATTTGTAAATTTTGAAAATTCCAAAAATAAGGGAAAATTTAATTTCGGTTTAATATAATGAAAATAAAATACCATAAGTAAACCTAACCTCTTCAAAATTGATTTCTTAAAGTTGGCTGTATAAATTTTTCGATTCAAATTGATTGGAATTTTAACTTTTATCGTAAATATTTATTTTTTCATTTCTTCTATCATTTTATGAAGAGTTGATTTTGAAATATGATAATATATTATGTGATAATAAATATTAATCAATTTTCATTGTTTGTATAATTCTATTTGGTTCTCTAAAATGAAACTTCATCTTTTTTTAAATAATGTCCTCAAGTCGATGCCTGATTAATTACTAAATTCTCCTTTCAAAATTAGAGCTCCTTAAGATTAAAATATTAGCTAATGTGATATCAGAAGAATAGTTATAATCGATGAAACTAAATAATAATTGAGAATTAATACCACTTTCTTCGATCAGTTTGGTTTTAAAAATTGAAGTTTAAAATTATGCTAAAATATTTTTATATCGATTATCTGATGATACGACTTCTTCTCCTGTCTTAACATCATATAAACGGATAGAAATTCGTATTCCGGCCGTAGGGGCTTGTGAAAACATCCTGCTCCGGCCGTACTGGCTAGGAAAATTTACCCATGCTCCGGCTGTGCTGGCTAGGAGAATTTAATCCATGCTCCGGCTGTACTGTCTAGGAAAATCAAAGCTAGCAGTAATGGCTAGGAAAATTTATTTGAAGTACTAATGTTTGACAGGTGGTAGCGTACCGATATTGGTAAATTTGAAATTTCCCAAGTAAGCCCATGAAATTCAATTTTTGTTTAATAGAAGGACAATGCAAACTAATATCATTTTTTTTCTTGGTTCTTGTTTACTAGATAAAATTATCCTCAAATTCCTTTTTTTGTTTTTGCTGAATAAAGAATAAATATATTGAATGAAAATTTATTTATTCTTCAGTATAAATTATTAATTGAAATAAATTGAATGTAAATCTGGTTCAATTACTTTATCATAATAAAACTATGCTTTGGAAAAATATTCTTTGAAAAACTATTGAATATGAAGTAAGAAAATTTTAAGGAATATTCATTTATGTGAAATAGTTTAAGTAGAGTGTATCATAAATCTTTCTTTGTTCAATCATGTAAACTAAATATAACTCTTTAGGATATAAATTTCTCCATGCTTCAGATTCTTGATATTCAAAGATCAGATAGAAATGTAGTAATAACTTTTCCCGGAGTAAGGGATTAAATTTTATTCAAAGATTCTTTTAAAATATGTATGATATTTTTTTAATTATAATCAATCTTATTGTAATTCTTTAAAGTTTTCTAAAATCAAGCCTCCCTTAGATTTAAATAAGGGTTTTAAATCATAACCTGAATAATTTTTAATAACTCCTTACAAAATAAAAGCTCCTTAAGCCTCCAAAATTGAATTTTGGCATATTCTTAGTATTGTACAATCAATCTCAACTAAAGATAATATTAATAAATACTATTGGTTAAAATTGACTGATTTTATAGTGGCAATTTGAACTAAGAAAGAAAGTGTTGGTAAAAATTATGATGAGGTAGAAACTCTTTGGCTTTCTTAACATCCCATAAACGGATAGAGTTATCATCACTACCAGATGCTAATGCAGTACCATCAGGAGAGTAAATAATTGAATAAACTGTTCCAGAATGACCATCTAATTTGGCTTTTTATTATCCTGTCTTAACATCCCATAA